CACAGGAGCATACTAAAGTGTTCTGAAATTCCCATTCTTCCATCCATAGTTTGTTATGATCCACACAGTCAAATGTCTTTGCATAGTCAATAAAACACAGTAGATGTATTTCTGGTATTCTCTCCTTTCAGCCAAGATCTATCTGATATCAGTAATGATATCCCATCTTCAATGTCCTTTTCTGAATCCAGCCTGAACTTCTGGCAGCTACCTATTAATGTACTGCTGCAACCGTTGTTCGATGATCTTTAGAAAATTGTATTTTCAAGTGATCGATTTTTCTTTGGAATGAGTACAAATTTGTATTTCTTCCAGTCAGTTGACCAAGTAGCTGTTTTCCAAATTTTTCTGACATAGACAGCTAAGGGCTTCCAGGGCTTCATCAGCTTGTTGAAACATTTCAACTGGTATTCCATCAATTCCTGGAGTCATGATTCTAGTTAATGCTTTCAGTCCACCTTGAACTTCTTCCTTCATTACCATTGATTCTTGCTCATATGCTACCTCCTAAAATGGTTGAATGTCAACTAATTCTTTTTAGTACAGTTTCTATATATTCTTCCCATCTTCATTTGATGCCTCCTGCATTATACAATATTTTGTCCATAGAAACTGTCAGTTAAAAAAAAAGAAACAGTCAATATTGCAACTCAAGACTTGTATTTTTTCTTGAGTTCTTTCAGTTTAAGATTTGCTAAGATTATTTTTCCCTTTTGTTTTTCTAGCTCATGGTGTTTGTACATTTCATTATAATAGTTTATTTTATCTTCTCTACCTATCTTTTGAAATTTTCAATTCATCTCTGACATCATTTTTTTTCATTCGCCTTAGCTACTCTACGAATAAGAGCAAGTTTCAGAGTCTCTTGTGACATACATATTGATCATTTATTTCTTTGCTGTCTTTAAAATGACCTTTTGCCTTCTTCATAAATAGTGTTTTTGATGTCATCCTACAGCTCATCTGGTCTTCTGTTATTAGTGTTTAACATGTCAAATCTGTTCCTGAATGCTCTTGAAATTCAAGTGGAATCGACTCAAGGTCATATTTTGGTTCTTGTGGACTTGTTTTGGTTTGCTTCAGCTTCAACCTGAACTTATATATGAGCAATGGATGGTCTGTTCTTCAGTTTACACATTTAGGCCCTGGCTTGATTTTAGCTACTGATGTTAAACTTCTCCATCACCTCTTCCTGCAGATGCAGTCGATTTGATTTCTGTATGTTCCATCTGGAGAAGTCCAGGTGCATAGTCGCCTTTTACATTTCTGAAAAAAAGCATTTGCTATGAATGAGCTGTTGGTCTTTCAAAATTCTATCATGCTAGCTCCAGCTTCATTTCTATCACCAAGACTTTATTTTCTAACAACTGTTCCTTCCTCTTTGTTTCCAACTTTTGCATTCCAATCATTAATAATTATCAATGCATCTTGATTGCAATTTTATCAGTGTCAGACTAACATTGGTAGAATTCTTCACTGTCTTCATCACTACATTTGTGGTTGGTGCTTTAATTTGAATAACAGTTATATTGGTTGCATTTCCTTGAAGGCAGCTAAATATAATCCTATTGCAGATCCAGTTGTCCTTCAAGAGAGACCTTGAATCGTCCTTTGGACGACAACTGCAAAGCCATTCCTCATGATTGTGCCACTCCTGCCATCGTAAAAAATGGGATTTTCTGATTCAAAACAACCACCACTGGTCCGTTTCAACTCACTAACACCTAGGATATAAGTCTTTCTGTATTTCATTTTTGATGACTTCCAATTTTCCTAGATGTATACTTTTACATTCCAAGTTCCTGTCATTAATAGATTTTTGCAGCTGTTTCTTTTCCTCTTAAGTGGTGCTCCATCAGGAAATGAAGACCCCGAAGGCTGCACACCAGCAGGCTTTGCTCCCGTCCCATCACCGTGCTTGGTCGGACTTTGAGAAAGCAGCTCCACTTCAGTTGCCTTTGAGTGCCTTCTGGCCCACGGGCCGTCCTCTGGCACTGTTTCAGACAACGTTCTGCTACATTCACTAGGCCTTCAGGGTCTGACCAAGATTCCACGCTATGCATAAGGTTTTCAGCAGCTACTTTCTCTGAAGTGGGCACATGATTCCTTCTTCTTCCTTGTGTGTTCTTAGTTTGGAAGATCCATTGAAACCTATTCACTTGGGGTGACCTTGTTGACATTGGAGATACCAGTGACAAAACTTCCAGCATCACAGGAACACACAAGCCATTATAGTATGACAAATTGACAGACGGAATTAGTGAATATTTTACCTGGTGCATTATGACCCTTGCTAGTAAAGGTTTCCCACTCCTGGGGATATAGTCATACTATTCTGTAGATATTTGATGGGTGTGTTTATTTAGATTGATGACTATCATCCTCGTCTTTTAACAAATAAACACAAGAGACTAAACATCTAAAATAAATTCGAAGTATACAAGGCAATACATTTTGTCCACTATTTAAAGATTTACTGAATTAGATTTTATTTCCCTGGCAGTTTTAGGCGAGCTGCGGAGTTGGACTCCCCGCTTTCCCTTTTTGGTTTGGTGCTTTATGCCTTCAGTCATCAGTGTCCAGCGCTGTTGACTCCGGCTAGCGCTACAACTCAGATCCTGACTCTGGTGCTGATTTACCCGACCTTCTCTTTACTCCCTACCAAACAAGGAAGAATTAAGCAACAATGCCTTCTCTATATGCACCCTTTCCCATCACCAATTGTGTCTTAGGCAGCAATAGACCCTCAATTAATGCCATTGCACTGGCTCTTTTACATCTTCATTCTCACAGAGGAACTCAGCGTTGTTGCTGCCACCTTCCCAAAGTCAAGAGCTCTTTGCTATTGAGTTGCCTGTGCCTCCTAAAACCCTATGAGCTCAGAGTAGACCTGACCCAACGGGGTTCTTAGACTGTAGATCTGTATCAGAGCAGAAAGCCGGGTCTCTAAAGGAGCAGCTAGTGGGGTTTGAACTGCCAACCTTTTGGTTAACAGCTCAAGGCAGAATCACTGTGTCTCTGAGGCTCCAAAGGAAGAGTCAAAATGGTCATCCAAAATGAATTTGTCTAAGGAGTAAAATAGCAAAGCATGTTTGTCAAATTTTTATTGACTATGAGTAGTACTAGATTCGGTTTATTGTTCCTCTCATGTAAAATATGTCGAGGGAGATACAGTATTCCTCAGTAGAGAGATTTTGAGGGTTCACTGCATCATTATGACTACCGCATTCAACCAACAAATGGAGAGATTCCGTGTCCCCAGTGAAGAAAGCAAGATCAAATGACTCAGAAGCAACCGCTCAGGTTGTTACAATTCTAAGCATCTGGTGTAACTGTTGGAGCATAAAAATGTTGATGTGTGATAACTGATCCCTTCTACACCTCGTGGTCAGGCAGGTTAGTGTGCTTCTTCCATCTGGGCTTTGGTGCTTCTCAGCTAGATGGCCGCTTGTTTGTCTTCAAGCCTTTAAGACCCCAGACGCTATGTCTTTTGGTAGCCAGGCACCATCAACTTTCTTCACTGCCTTTGCTTATGTTCACATTTTTCTTCAGCAATCTTGTAGAGAAGGTGTGCATCCTGGAATGCCAATTTAATACAACAATGTGTTCTTGCAATGAGTTAGTGCTTGAGTGGAGCCCCAATGTCCATCTGCTGCCTTAATACTAAACCTATAAATATATATACACGTAGATCTGTTTCCCCACACTCTTATCAGACATCAAAGAACTGAAAATCATATCAGTGGGTG